TGGGTAACAAACTAGCAGGTGTGAACAGTGGGAAGAATGCATGAATGTATCCCAAACACTTTTGACTTACCAAGAGATGTTGCACATGTGTGTTGTGACCCCTCTGCATGTGAACCCTCATCTTGGTGGGTTTAATCTATAAATGTTAGGGATCGTCAGAAGGTTATCCTTGCCTGAGTTGACTGCTAATAAAGGAAAAGCTTGTTTTTCAGTTGCCTGACCTTAGTCTTGTCTTTTTGACTAATTTAGGTTACTAATTCTGAAATTGTTTTTCTTGACATTTTCTAGTACCTTTAAGCTCTCTTGGCTGGTTGTGTCCTTTTATGATGCAAATATCTGATAGAACAGAAATGTGAGCTGCCTTGGATACTAACGTTTGAGCTACAGAAGAAACTTGTAAATAAGAGTAGAGCCCATGAAAAGATCTCTAAGGAGTCTTATTCTTGGGGAGAATATAAAATTTTAATTTTTGACATTTTGAGCTATTGGTGGTGTTTTCGCAAATGACAGTAAAAGGGAAACGATAGTAGAAAGAGCACAAGACATAAATTTACAGGGCCAGGGCTCAAAATCGATCTGTCGCTAATTATATGGTATCAGATGAGTTACTGTCTCAGAACCTGAGTTTCTTTAAATGTAAAATGGCAATAATAACAAACCATAGATTGTTGAGTCAGTGAAAAAAAATATGTAGTAATGCTTGATATAAAGTCACTCAAGGTTTACTTGAATCCAGAGAAAAGATTGTCTCTATTTGCTTAAGTATTATACTCTTCTTTACTTAAAAAACAAGTTATTTGAACTTTCAGTTGGTGTTCACTGGATTAAATTGGAATTTATTGAAGTATAAACATTTCAGAGTCTCACGAGAAACTAGATTCTAGGGAAAAGACTAGATTGTAGTCTAAGATGGGTGTGGGTAGAACTCAGTTATTACTCTTTGACTCATTCCAGCCTAGTTAAGTTGTTTTTGTCCAGTTTTGAGACTGATTGGTTCTAGAATGTTTTATTTAAAAGTGAAACTGAATTCTAACTGTCCATTTTCTAGTGTAAAGATATGAATTAGAACTCTTAATATTTTTTACTCCTTTATTGAAAGTGTCTGACATGGATATTATAATGAATGTAAAATAGGTAATGTTCTTTAAACATACCAAGAAACAGAGCAGCTTTGAAAATAGCCACGTGTATCTTGATATAGATGAATCATAGATTTGTGCCAGTAAAAAGTGAGGGCTCATTTTTATAAATTTATCCTATTTTGTTTGATTCTTTCATTTTATAAACATAACCTAAATCCTTCTTTTCTAATTTTGAAGAGGCTGACTTCAGATATTGAAATTGCTCAAATGCTATGCTTATATGTGTATGTCCAGGTTTTCTGCAGGGACAGAAAAGTGGCGAGGATTAAAAAGAAAATTAAGTAACTTGCGTCTTTCTTTCTAAAGAAGAGCATTGTAAGCCAAGGAGGCAGGGCTTTTCTCCCTATGTCTGGTTTTTTTCCTTAAACTCTCTTGTTTCTTAGACCTACTCTGTTCTTCTGGAGCTCTGATTGATGTCATCAAATAGTTCCAGTCCAAGTGGTTAATAATAAAGTCATAGCCTCTGTAGTCATGTGGCCCTAGGGTCTAACTTGAGTTCTGTCGCTAATTAGTGATGTAGCCTTGAGAAGTTTTCAAAATTTGCTTAAATCTCGGTTTTCTGGAAATAGTACCCATCTTGCAGAAAAGTTTTAAGAATCAAATGTTGTGAAAATGTTTAGTACCTGACATACAGTCTTTCTAATAATAATAGCTAATGACAGGTAACACTAATATAATACAGTACTTACACATCTGCCAGGCAGAGTATTAAGCACTTTACATGAAATATCTCTTTTAATCCCTTCAACAACCCTATGAAGTACATACTGTTATTATTCTGTTTTTACAAATGAAGAAACAGGCCTGGAGCTGGTCTTTTAACCATTTTGCTATATTGTCTCCATATTTATGAATATGATATGAATATTAGATATTAGCGATACATTCCAATTTCAGAGGTGTTAGAATTATTTTTAGTAATAATGAAATTGATACTGCCTATGCTAGAACATATTTGATGTAGGTCTTCTTTCATACCACAACCACTGTCAGAAGGACAGGATTTTTAAGATGAGTTCGGTGACATTAGGATGTTTTAGATTGAGAAAGTGATCAGCTAGAAGACTGTTACAGTAATGCACAGACATGAATAATGTCTGAAATAGTGGTGACAGTAAGACAGGGAAAGGACTAAAGATTTTATTTTTAATAACTGAAGTGTGATATATATATGTGGCAAAAAACTCATAGTTAGCAAGGATGTCTATTATAGTAAATACACAGTATGATTTATGTATTCCAGTTTAGAATAGGGATGCAAGGATATGTTATGAAAAAATGTGTTGCATATATTATAATAAAAAGCAATTTCCTTCCCTTTCCACATCCTTGTTTCCCTTCCCCTCTTAGAGACAGCAAATGTTACTAGTTTCTTTTTATATATCTCTATATTCATTCACAGGAATATTTTGATAGAAAGTCAGTAGGATATGGAAAGTGGTGTACTTCTAGATTTTATTGACTTTCTTATTAAACTGATACCATGTTTGTAAGCTAACAAGGTAACATGTCTCAGTTTCTTGGATGCTGGCAGGAGATTCCTGGGTTAGAGACTGTTACTCATGGCACAGCAGACAACATGAGCTTCATGTTCGCTCGCACAGTCATAGCTCATGGGAGTGATGTGGAGCAGCCCAGGTGAATGCTGGGCATCACAGCCGGGAACCCAGAGCTTAGAGAACCTGTCTTACAGAAAACCCACTCAACCTTTGCGCAAGGGTGGACACATTCTCTACAAAAATACTTGAAAAGATGTTCTGGAACAAAAGCTGTCAGTTCCTCTGCCCACAATATGTGCAGAAACTTGAGACCCGTGGAAAATTTTCTACCAGCACTACTTCTTCCGTCTCCACTTTAAGTTAAAAAGAAATCTATGTCAGTTTCAGTTGATAAAAAGTAGTTGGTATTTTTTCAACCATCTAAAATACATTATAATTTCTAACAAAAATTATAAGCCTTATGTAGATATATTTTAAAATATGTGCAAATGCAAGAAACTCCTCAATAATCTGTTCTGTGACTCTCTTGATAAAGTCAACTAATATCACAATTTTTTGTGTGTGTTGGGGTCTCACACTTTGTCACCCAGACTGGAGTGCAGTGACATGATCACAACTCACTACAACCTGGAACTCCTGGGCTCAGGCAATCTTCCTGCCTCGGCCTTCCAAAGTGCTGGGATTATAGGCATGAGCCACCACGCCCAGCAAAAGCAAAAACAGCACAATTAAAAAAAAAAAAAATCTGTTTAGTTGTAGAAATGCAGTTTGAATCTTATTTTGTCAGTTACTAAATATTTTATCCTTGAGTTAGCTAAACAAGGGAAAAAATGCTTTAATAGGTGATAAAGTACTTTCAGAGTAACTTTGTTAATTTCAAAACAGTCTAATAAGAGGACAGCTCTGTTTTATAGGTACAGAAATTGAGGCCTAAAAAATTAAGTGACTTGTATAAGGTCACATGTTAGTAAGTGGCAGAGTAGTAGTCTAAACCTTCAATAACAACAAAATCTGAAAGTCCCGCCCCCCCTTAGAACTTAGCTGCTTTATCCTGACCCTTTTCAATCAGCAGTCTGTCTTAAATGATTTGGACTTCAAAACATTTTTTTAGAAATGTGTATGTAAGCTCATGTGCATGTCCGTAGTTCTAATTCACCAAGAGAGTGTCTCAAAATAGATTTTCAAATATGTAGCTACACAGGCTTTTCAAGATTATCTCTGTATTTTTATTTATTTATTTAAAGCAGGATTTATTGAGAGGACAGAAAAGCTCCTACACTGGGAGGGGACCCAAGGGGGTTACCTATATTTTTATTTTAAATGAGAGCATGTGACATATCCTGGATTAATGAGAAAGGACTCAAATATTCAAAATGAAAGCTATCTTCATTTGGAGATTATTGCTTTTTAACTAGACATAGAGGGAAGCTAGAAGAAGAAATGTATTTTATAGTAGAGTGGTAAGTTTCGTTTGTATCTAGTGAATGTTTTAAGTTTTTTTTTTTTTAGTTTGTCCTATTAATCTATGCTAAGTAGGAAATTTGGAAAATAGAGAAAATATAAGACAAGGGTCCCTTGTTAACATCATAATTTTAAAATTAGTGCTACTCAAAAACTGTTCTTTAATTTCTTAAAATATTTTCTCAGCAAACAGAAAAGACTGTTTTCTAAATTTTAGTTTCAGTTACTTTTTCAAGACTTTATGCTAATATTGTTCTATGGTATTATTTGGGAATTATGGTCTTAGTTTTATGTTTGTCTCAGTCCAGGTTCTGGACAGATAAATTAGGGATATAGGCATAATTCACAGATTGATCCTGAAGCAGTTTGGGAAACAATGAAAGTATAAGAACATTTACTGTCTCCTTGAAGCTAAATGTCACTTAAAAAAATTATTCTATATTTAAGACATGAAGCATAAAGAATGTAACACTTGTATACTCACTCACTGGCTGTCTAAGAAAGAAAACAAAACCAACACAGTGGAAGTCCCCTTGTGTATATCTCTCTCTGATAGCATCACCCCATTATCCTGTAATTGATATTTATCGCTCCCATCTTTGGTACCTATGTCTCACATTCTTTACTTGAGTCTTTTCTTGTTAATTAAAGCAAGTGTTCTGTGTAAACTTATTTATTCAACTGAGAATTTTTTTTTCATTGTCTGAAACAGACATGGCAATTCAATTTTATTATTATATGAACAAAATCTTTTTTATTATAAAGATGTGGGGTACAATTCAAGGTTAGGTATACAAACACTGATTATGCAGATACGCTTGTTGATGAGGTATGCCCCTCCCTCCCCTAAGCAGTTTCCCTTAACTGCCAATCCCACTCCCCCTCCCCTGACATTCAAATGAAATATTATTTGGACCTAGGGGAAAGTTAAATATGTAATTTTTACTCTGTTTACTGTCTTCTCTTTCATGGCTTGCCTTCTTTGAATTGTTTAACTCTTTGCCAGTCCCATGCTTGGTTTGATCCAGTGTTCTGCCATCTGTAGTTGGTAGAAATCAGAAATTAGAGTGAGTTTGTTATTCTGTTGCATTTCATCTCTTAGCCGGACTTGGTGGCTCAGCCTGTAATCCCGCGCCTTTGGGAGACTGAGGTGAGTGGATTGCCTGAGCCCGCGAGTTCGAGACCCGCCCGGGCAACTTGGCGAGACCTCATCTCTACAATAAATCAAAAAATTAGCCGGGCCTGGTAGCGCGCGCCTACAGTTCCAGCTACTCGGAAGACTGAGGTGGAAGGATCACTGAGCCCAGCAGGTCGAGGCCGCGGTGGCCGGGAGTGGCCACTGCGCTCCAGTCTGGGCAATAGACCAAGACTCCAACTCAAAAAAAAAAAAAAGAAACTACTCTTAAACAGCCGGAGTTTCTAAACTAGTTTAGTAAAGGATTGAAAGGAGGATACAATTGACTCATCTGTACAGAGTATATGACTCATTTGTACAGAATGAAAACATGTTTATGAAGGCCCACGTTAAATGAAAGCTGGAATCCAGCTTGATTCAGACAAAAGTGCAAAGCAATACGTTAACAGTACATTAATTCGTCAGATGCATGCCAGCAGAATGGTAGAAAGGATATATAACTCGGCTGATGTGGGCTGTGGTCCTGGTTTTCCCTTTGACTCGTGTGTGTGACCCTAGGCAGGTGAATAACACTGCTTTTGAATCTCCAGTAAAAAAAAATTTTTTTTAACATGAGGTTTGGAAGGGATGCTTTTCCTGAAATAGAGGGCAGAGTCTAGGGTAGTAGACTGTATCTCTTAAGATCTTTTACTTTGGCCGGGCTTGGTGGCCCAGCCTGTAATCCCAGCACTTTGGGAGGCCAAGGCGAATGGTTTGTGGGTTTGAGACCAGCCCAGACAATTTAGCCGGGTGTGAAAGCGTGAACCTGTTGTTCTGGCTACTTGGAATGCTGAGGCAAAAGGATCGCTGGAGCCCAGCAGCGTGGCCATGAGCGTGCCACACTGCACTCCAGCCTGGGTGGTGGAGTGAGACTCCAACTTAAAAAAAAAAAAAAAAAAAAGATCTTTCATGTCTGTAAGTCAATTCAATTGTTTTAAATTATGAATCTTAAAATATTTCCTTATGGAAGTTTTTTAAGGCTGTGATTTATTAAACTTTCTTAAAATTTTAAATTTTAGGGAGGACATATACGAAATTTGCATAAGACAGCTGTGCAAAATGGAGCTGGCGGAGCTTTATTTGTGGTAAGTACTTAGATTTCTTTGGGGGGAAAAAAGCTTGGAAATTTGGGTAAACCACTGTTATAATTCAAAATATCTTTAACACTAGTGTCTTTGGTATATGGTGGATATTGTGGGAATTTAAATATAGCTAATTGAATTAACTACATTTCAAAAGATTTGTGGTTCCAGCTGAAACTCTTACATTTTTTAAATTGGCACCAGGGAAATTCTGGGAATAAGAAGTTAAATTGTTCTTTTGTGAAATTATGGTGAGCCCCATCACACTTTGGCTTCTTAAAAATCAGTCATATTGTCTCATGGAAGGTTCTGGGGCTGGAACTTGGGGAATCCCAAAATGACAGATTATAGTAAAGTAGTGAATACATCAGCAGCTGCCCTTATATATTTTTGGCTTCTACAAGTAGAAGTCTATGAAGTCCCCAGCTTTAGTTGCACAATTCAGAAAGGATAGATATGTATCCTTTTTATCTGACAAGGTGCAGATTTCAGGGATTAATCTAGCATTATTTAAAGGTAATATAGTGGATCTGTATGATAATTTAGAGTTAACAGTATAAGCAGCTTCTTGCTTTATGTTTATCACCTTTATCTAAATTTATATTAGGTTGGCTACGTTTGAGATCATTGTCTGAAGTTTCTGGTGTCTTTCCTCTTGACTTAAGTCCTTTAAAAAGCAGAACTCTGAGAGTTAACATATCAAGAGATTCATTTCTGTATTCACCATACATATTTAACATTAATTGATGTGTTAATCTCAGTGTGACTCATTGATTTCCTGTTGACATGCCATTTCTTGTTAGTTTTGAAAAGGTCCTGCTCTGTTCTATTAGGAGAAATAAAGCTTCTTGATGTTGGCTGCTTTTTGTTTATGGAAAGCATGTGAGGAAGAGGTAGTCCTTTTGTGCCTTCTCTAAAGTAATGTATCTTAAACATTTTGGATCCCAGATCCCTTTGACAATCTGATGTTCTCTCTTTTGGAAAAATGCACATATGTTCGCACTCAGAATTTTGTCTTAATTTCATAAGGCTTTTAGTTATTGGGAGTGTTTTAGTAGTTATATTAAAAGACTATTTTCTAATGAAGTTGTATAACACTTTTTGTTGTTTGTTTTTTGGTCCTAAAGCTACTGCTTTCTGAAACTTTTCTGAAATTTTGGATTCTCCTAGCTTTCCTTTGGTTGTCATAGTCATCAAATGTGTGTTTAGTCATTCTTTTCGATGGAAGGACAGATGGATATATATCATGTTGGAATTAAGATGGAGAGATTAAACAATAAACAATAGCATAGTAATGTTCAGTGTTACTCATACTTTTGTGAGAATTTGGATAATTTTGGAAAACTTTTTTTTTTTTTTTGGTATAGCATAGAGATACTCCTGAGAATAATCCAGATACACCATTTGATTTCACACCAGAAAACTATAAGGTATGAATAGATTAACATAATTATTTTAAGAATAATTTAGTATATTCCAGCCATAAAATGGTGCTTTTTCTTTTATACAGAGGATAGAGGCAATTGTAAAAAACTATCCAGAAGGACATAAAGCAGCAGCTGTGCTTCCAGTGTTGGATTTAGCCCAAAGGCAGAATGGGTGGTTGCCTATCTCTGCTATGAACAAGGTACTGGATTCATTTTTGCTTTGGTTCGAAAAGAGGAGAGATTGTGTTTGATAACTTCCTTAAATAGAAATTATTCTGATGATCTCCAGTGTCAGAATCTAGGAGTTTAGAGCTCTTTAGTCATTTATATGTTTTCTTGAATTATATTTGTGTTTTTGTTGGTTCTTTTAATTCAGGGAACTGAAGTAGAGTTTTCTATTCATGTAGGAAATAGTGAAAGCATTATGGTGAAAGAGGGTTTTGCGGGGATTTTTCCCCCCTTTTTGAAGGAGGGAAATGGTCATAGTAAAGGTAAAAGATTCCAAATGTCTATAATTAAGTGTCAAGATATTCTGAAAATTAATGTAATATTTAAACAGAATTACAGAAAAAGATCTCACAGCTAATGTGAATCTTCTGAGTATTTTACATCTTTGGTTACTGGTTTAACAGTAATCTATGTAATACATGGTATTTATGCTACTTGATTATGCTGCCTTGGAATCAATGACTTATGAAATGGTATGGAAAATGAAATGCTGTGGGTGACCCATGCATGACGTTAGTCTATTCATGCATATCATAAGATTCCTTTTTTTCTAATAGTTTTCAAAAAATCTAATTGTTTTCTTTATTGAGGTTTGGTCACATAATTTTTGCCATTTAAACAAATTATACAATATGAGTTGAAATGATTAAAGCTATGAAAATTACACAACTACCAAGCCATGTTATATAATGGAAAATATGTTTGACTTAGAGCTAAGAAACCTGATTTTTCTCTGAGCTTCCTCATCAGCAATGAAGGTTTTAAAATAGGTAAATCTCTTCCAATTATTACATATGATTCCTAGGTGATAGAGCTAGTACTGAATTTGTTTCCAAATCAGTGCATTTTCTACTTGACTATCACAGAGATTCTGCTGTACTTCATTCCTACCACTTTCTAAACTTTATTTGGTTATCACTGTTAGGTTAGACCATCATCTTTCTTAGAGAATAGAAATATCTTCAATTTATCTAATGGAATCCGAAATGCACCTTTTAGTTTATTGATATATTATTTACTTTGTATTTGATATATGCTCTAACACTGTATTAAGTATTTTTTTCACTATGAAAAATGTTATAGAGCAAGTTTGATAGTGAGGTACTATCGTAAGCAAGCATAGTCTGGTGGTTATTTTTTCAATAAATTAGATGTTTCTTTGGGCGTTACAATACTTTTTAAAGTAGCCAACTTTCTAAATAATGATATATATGTTTCTAATTATACTTTTTTGTGTGTGTGTGCACGAAATTTCATGTTTTTAATAATGGCAAGCCAATTGAAAGTCTGGCTGAGTGGCAAGCTTAGCAGAGCAAAATAAAATAAATAGGAAATGAAATGTGAAAACATTTAAAACATGAACAGGGCATGGTGGCACTTGCTGTAGTCCCAGCTACTTGGGAGGCTGATGTGGGAATACTGCTTGAGCTTGGTAGTTCAAGGCCAGCCAGACCAACATTGTGAGACTCTGTCTTTAAGAACCTGTCTCTCTAATTTAGCTATCTAATCTATCATCTTATTCTACTTAGAGTTGGATATGTATGGGGAAGAGGGAAGAAATAGCGTATAGGAAATAGAATCAAAATTCATTCCACTTTACATGTGGGATTTTGTTTTAATGTTACTGCCTCCCTATCTGGCCCCTGCAACCCAAGAAATAACCAGCAAACACCCAACCTTACGACAACAAAAAAATAGAGGCTCATTAATTATTTCTTTAACTGTCACTAAGGCTTGGTGAGATGTGCAGCAGAATTCTGGGGGTAGCTTTTCCAAATTAGACAATCAGAGCCTCACACAATATTTTAAGTTATTCCAGTGGTAGGGCTCCATGTGTATTGTGGTGGTGTGCTCCCCAGATTCATAGGTACTTTCCTGGCTTAGAACTACCAAATTAAACCAACTAGTTTATCTGTCGTAAGTTAACTGTGATTAGAATGTCTTTTGAGAATACACTTCCTTTAAAATTCCTGATAGGAGAAAGTTCAATATATTTGTCATTTGAAATGTCATTTAATGAGCTCTTCTTTTATGTCAGAACATGGAATACATATATATAATATGTGATACATATTATATATACAATTTTTAAGAATGCTAAGTACGTCAAACAGATATTGTCTGTTAATGCTTTGATGTGAAAAGTTGGGAAGTGTACTAGTCTGTAAGACCAGCTTTCAGGAAGAGTATTGTGATATGAAACAGTAGTGTTTTGGATTATTCTGGAGAGGGGGTTGTGTGTATGTGTGAGTGTGATATATGTGTATAAAAATAAGTATGCAGGCCAGGCGCGGTGGCTCAAGCCTGTAATCCCAGCACTTTGGGAGTCCAAGGCCAGAGATTGCCTGAGACCAGGGGTTCGAGACCAGCCTGGGCAACTTGGTGAGACCTTGTCTCTACAATAAATAAAAAAAATTAGCCAGGTGTGGTGGCTCACGCCTGTAGTTCCAGCTACTTGGAAGGCTGAGACGGAAGGATTGCCTGAGCTCAGCAGGTCGAGTCTGCGGTGGCTGTGAGTGTGCCACTGCACTCTAGCCTGGGCAACAGAGGGAGACTCCAATTCAAAAAAAAAAATTAGTATGCAGAGGCATCACATTTTGAGTTTACATTTCTAAATGTAGATATGTAAGCAAATACAGGCTAAAAGTGAGCTTCGATTCTCAACCTTTTTTCCTTTTGCTGTACCATTTGCATGTGCTGAACATCACCAGTAACCTCAAGGTTTTTTGTTTTTTTTTTTTAAATCTTTAAAGGGCTTAAAAAATCTAATTGCTTCTTTTATTGCAGTTTGGCCACCAAATTTTTGCCATTTTAACAATTTAAATTATACAATAAGAGTTGAAATGATCAAAGTAGAAATTCTTTTAGTCTTTTGACTTAAAGATTTAGAGAAGAACAATATCCTTTTGTGGAAATGCGAAGTGGGGTATTAGGAGAAGGGAGTGCTGTAACTCCATTAGCTTTTGGGCTCTGGTTTAAGTTGTCTGCAAAAATTGAAGAGTTTATATAGTGTTATTATCAGATACACATATGTTTTCCACCCTTGAAGAATTTTCCTGTTTTTACCAAATTGAGGCAGTTTTGAAATTATATTTTTTAAAACATGCCTAAGGCTCAGTTGATAAACTCTGTAGTTATCTTACTTGAAAATGTTCTAATATTTTAGGTTGCAGAAGTTTTACAAGTACCTCCAATGAGAGTATATGAAGTAGCAACTTTTTATACAATGTATAATCGAAAGCCAGTTGGAAAGTATCACATCCAGGTCTGCACTACTACACCCTGCATGCTTCGAAACTCTGACAGCATATTGGAGACCATTCAGAAAAAGCTTGGTATGGGATACATTCTATTTGTAACACTGATAAAAAACCAGAATTGTCTTTCTATTGAAGTATCTGTACCTGAAGTTTCCAACTTCTTTCATTTTACTGGATCTGGACTTCCCCAGTAAAGTTTTGTCTTACTGTATTTGGCCACCTTTGTTTCTTCCTATTTTGTGTTCTTTCTTTGTTCTCAGCCTCAAAGCTGAGTTTTCATCTTCTCTTTTTAAATCACTAAGTATGTTTTAAAAGCTTCTAGAAGTTTAGAAGATTGTTTCACTTATTGTATGAAAGCATGCATTAACTAAAAAAGTGACTATTGTCTTTGTATTCCTCCAAAGAAGCCATGGAACAAATAAAATATGAGCATAGTAAGAATGCTTCTGAAAGGGAAATTTGAAATTGATGTGATTATGGTGGCATTTAAAAAGTAAATAGGAAAAAAAAAATGGGCATTTTTCTATACAACACTGCCATTGATGCTTATAACTGTATATACCAAATGGAGTAAATGCAGGTGTCTTTTGTTATTGAATGTAAGTACTTGCATGTTATAAAAATAGTTGAGCATATATTGAAGTATATAAAACAGAAAGCTAAAGTTGGCTTAAAATCCCACTCCTTCAAGGTATAAATTCTGATAACAGTTGGGTATATTGTTATAGATTTTATATCATTTACTCTGTGTTTGCTTTTTATACTTTATTTTGGTTATCTTTGTATAGCAGAATATATAAGTCTATCCCTTTCTTTTTTGTTTTTTTTGAGCTGGAGTCTCACTCCATCGCCCAGGCTGGAGTGCAGTGGCATGCTCATGGCCACCACAGCCTCTACCTGCTGGGTTCAGGTGATCCTTCCAGGTCGCTGGAACTACAGACATGCACTACCATGCCTGGCAAATTTTTTGATTTATTGTAGAGACGAGGTCTTGCCATGTTGCCCAGGTTGGTCTCAAACCCATGCGCTCAGGCAATCCTCTTGCCTCTGCATCCCAAAGTGCTGAGATTACAGCTGTGAGCCACCGCACCTGGCTTGCTTTTTGTATTATAGATTAAGTTACTTTGCAGTTACTTTCATATACTTGTCCTGTTGTATACTGAAGTTGTTTTTCAGAAGGAGAATCACAGGGTCAGACTTTACCATGTGCTGCCAAAATGCCTTCCCTAAAATGTATGAGAGTATTCATTTTCTTCATATCTTTAATAATCTTTGCCATTGGCTTTTTGAGTCTTTGCCAGTCTGATAGTGTGACTGTGATTTTAGTAGCTTAATTATAACAATCAAAATGAAAATAATACAGCCTGATGCACTGCTGTATAACAACAAACACTGGAGATGAGTCCCCTGAAATGTGTTTTTAAAGGAACAAGTCTACTTAAGAAATTCTTGAATTGTTTTAGTATAATTATATAGAGTATTTTTTTAAGAAAAATATTCTTAAATATTCTTATATACCTCTGTACTATATTTTTCTTTCTCCATCTTCAATTCTCAATATGAGTTTTTTTTTTTTTAATTGCTGTTAAAATAAACTAGTCCTTACAGTGATCATTTATGTTTTTAGGGATAAAGGTTGGGGAGACTACACCTGACAAACTTTTCACTCTTATAGAGGTGGAATGTTTAGGGGCCTGTGTAAATGCACCAATGGTTCAAATAAATGACAACTACTATGTGAGTATTTCATTTTAATGTAAGTTAAGTTGTATGGTGTCATATTTGGAATATGATATTTTGTGTCCTGCCGATGTTCCTTTTTAAAAAAATTTTATAAAGATGTGGGTTACAATTCAGGGTTAGATATATAAACGTTGATTATGCAGGTACCCTTGTTGATGAGATATGCCCCTCCCTCCAGCACCCCCCTCCCCTGATAGAGTCTTAATTATTCATTTAAAAGAAACTGTTAGCATTAATATCCAGAAAGTTAAAAAAAAAATTATCTTGAAGCATTTTTGTATTTAACTCCAGATAACAATATTACAAACTTTCAATTATATGAAAAATTTAGTAATTTACATATAAGAAAATAAGTCTTTGTGTAGCAATTGCCAATACTTACCAGTGTTAGATTTTGCCACATTTTATTACAAATATCATCATCATCTGTAGAAATAAGCAATAGATACAGGTGAAGCACCCCCATCCCAAACCTTTTTTTCCTCCCTTTCTTCCCCAGAGATAACCATTATCATAAATTTAGTGTGTGTTCTTCCTGTACATATATTTTAACTTTTTCTACATATGTATTTAGCTATACTAATATGTTAAATTGTTTGTTTTATAACTGTTACAGAGATATCGTACCTCTCTCTAAACATTGCTTTAGTTGGATCTCATAAGTTTTGCATTTTTTGAAAATTGAGTATTTCTGTTGGTGTTTTTTTTTTTTTTTTTTTGAGTTGGAGTCTCAGTCTGTTGCCCAGGCTAGAGTGCAGTGGCATGCTCACGGCCACCTCTAGCATCAGCCTGCTGGGCTCAGGTGATCCTTCTGCCTCAGCCTTCCAGGTAGCCGGACCTACAGGCATGCGCTACCATGCCCAACTAATTTTTTTTAATTTTTAATTTATTGTAGAGATGAGGTCTCACCAAGTTGCCCAGGCTGTTCTGGAACCCATGGGTTCAGGCAATTCCCTCACCTCGGCCTCCCAAAGTGCTGGAATTACAGGTTTGAGCCACTGCACCTGGCCTGATTTTTTTTTAAGTTATGCATTTTGTTTTCTTCTTTGACCTGTATATTTTTTAAAAAGTGTTCTTAATACCAAATGCATAGAGTTTTCTAATTATTTAAAAATTGCTTCCTACTGGAATTATACCATGGTTTTCACTCAAGGTATCTCATTAGCTCATATTTCTTAGAAATTCATGTATAGGAATTCTTTGAGGACTGCATTGAAGGTTGACTTTTTTAAAGAGGGGATTTGCTAAAAAAATTAGTCGGGTGTGGTAGCGCACACCTGTAGTTCCTGCTACCTGGCAGGCTGTGATGGATCGCCTGAGCCCAGCAGGTTTACGCTGGGGTGGCCATGAGCGTGCCACTGCACTGCAGCCTGGGCGACAGAGTGAGACTCCCAACTCAAAAAACAAACAAACGAGGTGAGTGAATTGCCTATAATAAATCAAAAAACTAGCCGGGTGTGGTAGCGCGCGCCTGTAGTTCCAGCTACTTGGAAGGCTGAGGCAGAAGGATCGCTGGAGCCCAGCAGGTCAAGGCTGCGGTGGCCGGGAGCGGCCACTGCACTTCAGTCTGGGCGACAGAGTGAGACTCCAACTCAAAAACAAACAAACAAACAAAAAAAAACCCAAACAAACAAAAAAAGGTGGGGGGGGTGGGTGCTTCTCTCTTGCTCTTGGAGTACTACTGGCCTCTGGAAGAAGTCCCTCTCCTATACCATAGTCCTATCCTGCCACCCAATATGAAAGGTGCTAGACTAGCAGTTTTCTTTGAGGGACAATTTATTCTTATATTGAAGGTATAACTTTTTGGAATCTTAACTTTGTGTGGTTTAGATGGTCTCTTGTTAGGCAGTATTTTGCTGGCCAGGGGCTTTATCCCATACCCTTATAGGCTTTGAAACCTTGAAGCCAAGTTTGCTTGGTGTTACTTGACTCTGGGTTTTTCTTTCGAGTTTTTGGCTCTGAGTGTTTATTTGTTTTAAATACGAATTAGACAGTTAAGGCTTTGTATGAGGCATTGTAAATCTAAATATAGTAGCCTGTGGATAGATTTGTTCAAGAGATAGAGATACTTTCAGTTAGTAGTTGGATTTTTAGACTAGGGATAGTTATTAGACATTTATTTACGTTACTACAACCACTTGTGCTAATTCTCTTTGTACCTCATCAAGGATATAGCATATGCCCTGACATAGTTCTACTTTATATATTGTCTTATTTAATCTTCAGAAACATGCTGAAGTAGGTTTACAAATAAGCAAATTAGGGAAGCCTGAGTAATTTGTCCAAGATTAATAGCTAGTAAATGATGAGCCAGGACTCAAATCCAAATGTGTTTCACTTCAAAACACTAGTATGGCCTCTAGCTACAGCATTTGTTGCATATTATATTTAGCAGTATATACTGTATATAAGTTATTCAGTTGTTGATACCTTGTAACTGTCTTGTGAGCTGAGACAGACAATAAAATAACTGGTACTAGGGATTTATAGATTTCAGCTGTAGAAAGTAATTTCAGTATGACTTGTAATTTTTTTTCTAGGAGGATCTGACGCCTAAGGATATTGAAGAAATTATTGATGAGCTCAAGGCTGGCAAAATTCCAAAACCTGGACCAAAGTATGCTTTTATTTGTATATAATGAGTTTTAATTGCTTATCTGAATTAATTTGTCACATAAACTCAATTTTTAAGATTTTATGCCCTAAGTTAGGAACCAGCAGGTGCTTTGGATAGTACTAGCTAAAGCAAACTGTCATCTAGAGCAATAATTTTTTTTTCTAAAACCATATCAGATATGAGATCTACCTGATATCTACCTGAATATTTATAGAGAAGGAAAATTTGCTACAAATAGAAAGTATTCCATTATTTAAAAGTTTATACGCTAGAAGGTGGATCCAAAGACTGTTCTTTCTAATTTCCACCTAAAGATCGATTTCTGCTCTTTGAATCAACACAACTGTAATACCTGTTCCAAGTCACTTCAGTCACTTGAAATAACTATCTTATCTTCTCTTCATTTTTCTCTCAGACTAAATATTCACAGTGCTTTCATTATTTTTCCTTATATTGACATAGTTTGGTCTCTCTGCTCTGGGGTTTCAAATTGGCTAATGACTTTAATCTGAGCTTAAACTAATCACAGCCTGTGATTAATAAGAGTTATAACGTGCTCTTTTTTCCCTGCTTTATATATATATATATATATATATATATTATTTTTTTTAAAAAAATAACAGCTCCCTGAAGTTGAATTACCAAGTCAGAAAGTATGAGTGGTTCTTATAGTTTGCTCTTCTTGAAGTACTCACCCATTGTTTTGGTAGACTATTTAATGAAAAAATGAGGCCAATTCAGGATAACTTAGTAAACGCTAGCGGACTTCTGCTATTACTTTCTTTTCTAGGAAATGCATACTTCCTTCAACTCCCTGAGCCTATAGAATTGAATTTGCTTAAGAATTTTGGCATTCTGTTCCAAGTGCCTCAGTTTTCTTGGTTACATTTACTTTTTTTTAGGAGGTAAAATATTTCCCTTGTGAGAAATCATTCTCCTTTATGAAGTCAGGAGAAATGAAATCTTTTGTCATTTAGTATTACAGGACTGTTCTTAGCCAGTGGTCCTATCTCTTACTCTTGCTTCAAATATAAGATCTCCCTTAATAGTCAATTTTTCATAGTATTTCCACAAGCTTCAGCTCCTTTTTAGGATTCAGATGTTTTTAAGTAAGTTTATTCTATTTTTATGTTTGTACTTAAACGCATAGCTTCTTTCACCTTTTGGGTACTTAAAAAAACATTCCAAGTGCAGATTTTCTTGTGAAATCCACTCGGGTTCTTTAGATGGCTCCCTTCTGATTTGATGTTTAATTTTGTAGTCATGATTTTGTTGGTTAGAATTTTCTGCTTCTCGTGAACTCTGATTTATGAATTATGACAATAATCCAGCATTACTCTCCTGCCATACTAATAAACATAGTTATTTGTTACTTTATTACATGACTTACTTAATATTCATTTATTTCACATTTTTGAGCCTGCTGTGTGCCAGGCACTAATTGAGGTTATTAATAAATTTCTCATATATCTTGTGTATTCTAGTGGTAGAGACAAATAATGTGTACCTGAGTGATAAAATGCTACAAAATAAAATGAAATAGTGTTAGGGGTTAGAGAATAATTGGTAGTAAATTTTGTTGGGAGAGGGCTGTTGGAGGTGGTAACATATGAGCCATGACCTGAATGTTGAGCTATAGGGAAACATATAAAGATCTGGAGGAATAACAGTCTAGGGATGGTAAAGGGGACATATCCAGGTCTTGGAGGCAAAGTAAGAACAGTGTGATTGCAGTGAGGTGATGGGCAAAGAAAGTGGTAGAACAGGTCAGAGAGGGAGATAGGGGCCAGATAAGTAATCTGGGTTGTGAATCCTAAATATAATAAAAAGCTGTTGTTGGAGTGTTTTCAGTAGGGAATGATATGAGCAGTCTTGTTAAAAATATTGTCCTAGTTGCTATATGGAGAATAGTTTAGAATTTGGTGGATGTGTAGGGCTGAGAAATTATGAGCGATTTCTACCTTTTTGGCTTGGACATTTCCATGGTCCCTTGAACTAAAATGGAAAAGATTTGGGATAAGAAAAGTCACTTTTGTTTTAGACATGGTAAATTTGAAATATTACAGAATACTGAGAGGCAGGTATGAACCTGGAAAATAGATTAGGGCTAGAAATACAATTTGGGGATTCATCAGTTATGAAAGGTAGTTTTTAAAGTCTTGAGTCTGAATGAAATTATCAGGGGTGAAATTAGAATTTGTTTTTAATATAGGAAAATACTATAACATTGTATCTTAATAGTAATAAACAGGAACTAGGTACTACAGTTAACACTTTCAATATCTGATAATAATAGGCAGTTTGCTCATCATTATAAACAGTTCTTCACTGGAATTTTCTTGACATATTTGAGTGAAAGATTTAAGAATTATTGGTGTCTGAATCTGTTTTTATTTTCTACTTATCACTGTTATTTTAAAAGCAGATATAAATCTACTTACTTTTCAATAATTGCAGGATATCCACCAATGGTATATAAAGCTCGTATTTGGACATGGTAATACTAGAATGTTTTATCAGCATACGAAAACAACTTTTCACTTTATTTTCCCAAGTTAATATCTTGGATATATAGGATAATGAAAGAGACTGAGATAGCAATAATCATAATACAGTTACAGTTATTCCGTATATTAATTAAAACGAATTGTTTTTTACTGCTATTTTTATAATCAAGCTACAGCTAATTGAAAGAGGTGCTGATAGTTTGAGTAATGAAAAACTAAGATAAATTAAAACTTGTTCTATAGTAAATGATTTCTGAGTACCACCATGAGGTCTACCGTGGCCAAAATTAATAAAAGATTGATGTTTCTATTAGGTTGAAAACTGCTTTTTAAAATTGTTTCTGGTAAATTACTTTAAAAAGAAAATATTAAACCAGTAGTAAGATAATATAGCTGATGTTTCAACAACATGGGGATTGGGGCACTGATTCCTCATACAGTTGAAGATCTGTGTAAAACTTTTATCTTCCCAAAAACTTTACTAATAGTCTACTGTTGACCAGTAGCCTTGTCAATAACAATGTTGATTAGCACATATTTGTATGTTATAGATAGTATATACTGTATTACAATAAAGCAAGCTAGAGAAAATGTTACTAAGAAAATCATAAGGCAGAGAAAATATATTTACTGTTCATTCAATGAAAGTGGATTATCATAAAGGTTTCCATCCTCATCTTCCTGTTCAGTAGGCTGAGGAGGAAGAGGGGTTGGTCCTATCTCAGGCGTACCAAGGCAGAAGAAAATCTATGTATATAGTGGACTTGTGCAGTTCAAACCCATGTTGTTCAAGGCTCAGCTGTATTCTTTCTTAATTTTGACGTTAGTAAATAGATGTGTTGAGATTGTACTTATTTTCAGTGAATTTAAAGCACTGAAAATAACTTCTAAACCTGCTTTCATATTACTAATAGGTAGTAAAAGATATTACTTTGATACATACTGTGATAACTTGGAAGATTTATATGTGATTATGTGGTATCATTTTCCTGTCACCTCAATAAAAAATGATTTCCCATGGCTCTAAGGAACAGACATATATATCATCACTGTAGGATGGATAGAATGTGAAGGGCAAAGCTAGAGGAAGTTGTAAAGATATAAATTGAACAAGTTCTTCAGCTAAAATCTGTAGCAGGAACAAAGTAAATTAGCAAAACCAGGGAATAGTAGTGGGAGAGGGGTGAGGTGATACAGAGTGGGTGCTGAACTGGGCTCTAGCAACAGAGGTCAGACAGGGCAGAGGTGAGCAATTAACTGGGAAAGTATGTGTGGGGTTGGAAAAAAAAAACACAGACAGGTTCTTCTACTTCTGTACTGCCTCTGCCTCTGTTCATAAATCTTCCATCAGGAGCTGTTCTTGTTTTTCTTCTCTGTGGCAGTGGCCATCCTGGTGTGGAACATTTTTTTCAGAAAATTACTACTACTAATATAGCTTTAAAGAAACATAAATGCAAATAGATTTAATGTCATTGCTTCTAAGGGACATCCTCCCAAATCCTCTATTTCTCAAGGAATCTAGTTTCTGTTTACTTCCAAATACTGTGTACAAGCGTACGTTCCTTCTATTCATTGTGACAAATGGATCTCAGTTTAAATAAAATTTGACTATAAAAATAAGTGCAGTACCCTAGTTTATTAAAACATGGTTTAAAAAAAAGTCCTCTGGGGCTGGGTTATTTTTGCCATAATTCTTTGCTCTGATCCTTGGATTGATGCTGAATACCCTAAACCTTGATTTCCGTATCTAGAAGATAAAGCCAGCATCACTTGTCTCAGTGCATTGTTGTAAAGATAAATACATATACTGCTCAATAAATGGGAACTATTATTAGTGCTGGTTTTATATTTTTCATATTTATGATGAATTTTTAATTTTTTTTTCATACTTGATTTTTTTTAATACTTGACTTTAGAAGGAGAAAATCTTGCAGCAGTTGAAATGTTTGAATTCAATAATCCATGCTAGTTCTTGGGGAGAAGTAATTACTTAGCTGGGCTGTTTTGATCAGACAACAGACAATTTTTTTGAGTAAAGATTTAGAAATGTTACTCATTAATGTTACTTTTCTTTTCAGGAGTGGACGCTTCTCTTGTGAGCCAGCTGGAGGTCTTACCTCTTTGACTGAACCACCCAAGGGACCTGGCTTTGGTGTACAAGCAGGCCTTTAATTTATATTCAGCTGTAAATATGGCACTGGAGAAATAAAATATGAACTTATCTATATAAACTTTTTTTTTGTTATTTGTTTATTCTGCTCTGCGTACATTTTGGTGGTAACCTTAGCAACTGAGCTATAAGTTTTATAGCAAAACTCATTTTACATTCTTCTGCTATCTGTGACTTTATTTTTTTAAGTCAGAGTCACTCTGTCATCCAGGCTGGAGTGTAGTGGCATGATCACAACTCATGGCAGCCTCAAACTACTTGGCTCAGGCGATCCTTTCACCTCAGCCTCCTGAGCAGCTGGGACTACAGGTACAAGACACCACACCCAGCGAATTTTTAAATATTTTTTGTAGACACACGGTCTTGCTGTGTTGCCCAGGCTGGTCTCAAACTCCTGGGCTCAAGCAGTCCAGCCTTGCTTGACCTTTCAGAGTGCTGGGATTATAGGCATGAGCCACCATGCCTGGCCTATCTGTGGCTAACTATGGAAAACATTATTACATAATCTGGTTAACAGTTACTCCAGTGTTACTCATTCAACTACCAGCTAATTTTTATAATAAAAATTAGGTTACTATGAAGTAAAAATTCTGTCAAATTTCAAATATCTTTTCCCATCTTTAGCCACAGCCAAATTTTAAGTTACCAGCTTTCTATTAACTTTATTTCAGTACTCCATTTAAGAATTTTTACATTTACAGCACATAATTGTTATTCTATTTCTAACTAGTTAGTGACATCTCAAGCACACCGTAGTATAAGGAGGATAAGGTAGTTGTCTCTAGAAGCATTATCATTTTTTAAAAAGAAAAGCATTCCAGTGCTGTGGCTCAAGCCTGTAATCCCAGCACTTTGAGAGGCTAGGGCAGTATGATCTCTTGAGTTCAGGAGTTTGATACCAGCTAGGCAACATTTTCTGTAAGAAAAATAAGAATTTAAAAATGAAGTAAAAAAGGAAAGGTACAAACTACAGCCAAGGATACTTGGACGCTATTCTTGGTTATTTTGACACTGAAAGTATACAAAAGATAATCGGGTGAAGAAATGCGAAGTATAACCATGAGTTGGAAAGGTCAGTGGACATGCAAAATATTCCTCAGTTGTATTGATGCTACAACTTAAAGGATAAAACCTTTTGTGTATTAACATCAGTTAAAGAAATCAGCTATAGTACATTAGTTTTGCAAGTGGGAAAAAATAATAGCCAGCTTTAATGCATGAATAAACCTAAACTTACTAAATTATTTCAGGACTTCTCAAAGTCACTATTTGGCCTTGCTTTTGAGACAGTATTCACTAGCAATTATGATGCCTAAAAACAAATATTTTTTCAAGTATATTACATTTTTTTTTTTTTAACTTGGGAGAAGGTTAAACTGTCTAATTTTCCAAGTGGCACCAAAAGGTAGACACAATGGAAATGCTTTCCACCCTAGAATTCTTAACTTTCTCAACGCCATGAATATCTAAAACGTTAACACTATTTTACTTCTAGCCAAAGGTGCTCTCTTACTGTATCGTTGAACCTTATATTTTATAGGTGGAGAAATCAGGAAGCTAGGAAAGGAAAATCCCTTGGTCTTCAATGCAGGATTATGCTTTACGTAGTAATTTGTTAGGACGTGAGTGTCGCCTCATCTGCTGTATTCATGTGAACCCTCAGTTTATAAAGACTAAAGAAACAGGCTGACATACATTTGTAACTGCGCATTAACTCATGAACGGACGCTGTGGTTTAGGAGGCCACAGTTCACGGGAAGGGGAAAGATGGTTTCCAGCTGAGGATGGGTGGCTAAATTAAGGTGTATACAGCTGTCACAGCCTCTAAGTAAATAAGACAGCGTCCAGAACTGTTAGCGTACATGCCGCAGCCACGCCGAGACTCAGTTTCCCAAGACACTTGCCCCGGACCTGGGCTGAGACGGTCAGTTTCCCCGGGCCCTCTTAAATCCATAGTGCCACACGTGGGGACATGCACCAGGATTTTCTCTCTAAAAAATGGAAGGGGCGACTGGGACCCTGTAGACCCCAGGGGAGGCGCCCGCTACTGCGCTTTCGGGGTGGTCCTCGGGCCGGCCGGACCCGCGAGGGCTCAGCGGACAAGACGCGCAGGTGCAGCGGCTTGGAGCGGCGCAGGCGCCGACACTCGCGCCGCCCCCCCCGCCCAGCCCGCGGGAGACCGTCGGCTGCCGCGAGCCTCGGGGGAAGGAACCCCGCCGCGGCCTCAGGCTGCGATCGCGGCGCTCTTGCGCCTGGGTCGGAACACGCGCCCCCTGCAAAGATAAGATGATAATACCCTTACGTGGGCCTCTTCGTCGCCGCCGCCATTTCCAGAAGTTTCCAGTCACAGCCACCGCCATGGTCGCCGCCAAAAGCGATTGCAGAGTCCGCTTGGCGGCAGCGGCAATGACGCCTGCACCGCCTCTTCGCGCAGCCTTTGGTCCCCCCTCCTTCTCAGGCGGGTGACGGCGGCGGGGAGGCGCGGACACCCGGGTGGGGGGAGGCGGCAAGCAGGAAAGAGGAGCTGCGGCCCACCCCCCTCCGCTGTCTCCCACTTGGTACGCTCTGCCTCCTCCGCCCAGCAGCTCGAGACGCTTCTCCGGAGCCGCAAAAGGGGCGGGCGCCGGGGGGCGGGGCGGTCACGCCGTCCGTCCCGTGCCCGCGGGAGTCACGTGTACGCGGGCGTCACGTGCTCGCGCCGCAGCCAATCGCCGCGCGGCGCTGTCCTGGGAGCGAGGAGGCTGTGGTGAGAGACGGACCGAGACCGGAGATGTTTTCAAGCCCGGCCCCGGCGGCGTTGGTGGCGGTTGCAGCGGCGGCGGAGACAACGACAGCGACGGCCACGCCAAGGCGCTTGTCCAGGGCGTAAACCCTCCTGCGCCCGCCGCGCCTCGGGTCCGTGCGGGCGAGGGGGGCGTGGCGACAGGACAGGAGGAAGGAGGGGCGCGGTTTCGAGCCTGTCCCCGGCGCCTGGGAGGAGACCCCTCAGTTCCGCGCTGCTCCGGTTCCCCCTCCCCCGAGCAAGGTAGGGGACGCGGCCCGCCCG